TGTTGAGGGAGTATTGTCTGGCGCCGGATGGCGCACCTGAAAGCAATGACTACCGTTGGCATACTGCCCACCATAGGCCGCAGCTCTTCCTGCTTTTCGCAATTGCGTGAAACGATTGTGGCCAGGACAAAGCTGTTTTCCAAGGCCAGAACCACATTGTTCCAAGACCTTTGAGCTCGACCTACCCTTCCGGCACAGCTCACAGTAGTAAGCTGCCAGATTGCCATTTTGCCACTTTGCTGTATTGCTTGAGCACTTGCGTCAGCAAGTGCCTGTGACTAGGCCTGTCCGCATACAGGCCAATCGCGCAATGCACAAGGCCACTCCAACAGGCAAATGGATAGCAGCGTGAAATTGAATTCGAGGCCCAGGTAGCTATTAGCCACAGTTCCCTCTTCTCACCGTGTTTCACCATTGATGAAACTCTGCGGTTCTTGCCTGTTTTTCTTGCTGTTGTGGGGTTTTGGGGTTTGGCTGTTTGGTTGTTTTCTTGTTTCGTGTTTCTGAATCTGCGGAGTTTCAACCTTTAGCAAAGATGACCTGTGCACACCGCACACATGGCGTCTCCACTCGCGCAAAAAAAATCTGCAGCATGCGATCGCCTTCCCAAGAAACTCCTATCAATCACAGGCTGCGCTGACGAATCCGGTTACCGAAAGCCTGGAGCTATCGGGAACATTTCCGCGGTGGTTTTCCAGGTGCCTGTTCAATGCTGCAGAGAAAAGCTTCAATTTCGCATTGCATGAAATAGGCTTGCTTTCGATGCTCTCCACGTGCAATAGATTGCACAGCGTCCTGATCTCAGGACGCTTTGCTGCAGTGAAGTAAGAACTTGAAATGAAGAGACCAAAATGAGGAATGGAGAAGAGCAAAACCTCGCGGTCCAGCAGAACGGAGAGCCGGTGTTTAATTCATTGCCCCTGTTTCACCTCTTACGCTTTTGGTCTACATGACCGCTCGAGCTACATGCCAGGTTGCTGGTGTTGGTGTGGGGTGGGTTTGTGTGTTGGTTGTTGTTTTTTGGGTTTTGTTGGTGGCTCTCTTGTTTCGCAACCTGGCTCGTAACTCTCTATTCACTAGCGCAAGATGACCTGTGCAACCTCTGCACACATGGCGTCTCCACCCGTGCAAAAAATTCCTACCGCGAGTGCCCTCTGACGTACAGCGCCATATGGCTGGCCCGCTTACCACCTTGCATGCGGAGCTGAGTGGACTTCTTTTCGTTGCCCTCCTAATGGCAAACATCCACCCTGATGCCGATGATCAAGACGTCGGATAGGCTCTAAATGCATCAGGAGGGGCGCTTACGCCCCTTCCTGTGGCTCTTGGCTTTCCCTTCCTGCTCATCATACGGATGGATGCTTCATACTTTGCTGTTTCGAAGGGTCTCCTCCGGTAAACGTATACCAGCGCTGCAAGGGGCGGACCAGGACCCTTCTCGTGGGTGGGGTGTTTGGTATAGGGTGTGACAGCAAGTGGGCGGAACCGCTTGGTATAACTCGCCTGGATCGAAATGGCGCCTTACAGACTGCTGTATGTCTTTGTGCACAAACCTCAGGAAAATAGAGGAAGCCTCCTTGTCTTTCCTCACCTTTTCATTTGCTCGCTTTTCATGTACCAATTGTGCCCTCTGAGTGGGGCCTCTCTTTATCAGTTTTTGGCAATCCCTCCATTCTGGAACATTGGTTTAACGTTTGGTCTTGCAGGCTTTGGGCCTTTGCTGTTGGTCACCACTTTACATGACGACCATGTTTGGCAATACTCGATGTGTCATGTCTGCAGCTCCTTTGGCTCTCAGCAGCCCAAGTCACTTCTCTGGGAGCCTGTGCACGCTTTCGTTCGGACGTGCAGTCCACCTCAGTGGAGGGCACCTAGAGCCGTGTGTTCGATTGTCGGCTTGCGTTCGAGCTGAATCAGCCAAAGGTGCAGGCAGCCAACCGCAGTTGGGGGCCTGGCACAGTCACTTGTCCCACGTCCTACTCGCAAGGAGGGCCTTTCGATCACTTCCTATGTCAATAGCCGGAGTCGAAGTCGATGACCCGAGGATGCCTTTGACGGACGCCGACATGCAGTATGATGAACCAGACCTAGTGGAGAACATAGGCCCCGAGGTCGACCAGACCAAGCCTTATGTCCATGCCAACACGGGGTGGATCACTCGAGCAGACGCACACACCTTTGTTCATGGCCGTAACGATACCAACCATAGTTCCCCAACAACCAGCTGAAGGAGTTCCGACGAACCCGGCTGACCTCCCTCTACGGCAGCCGGTATTACCACATGGTGTTTGACCACATCATGGGCTGGAACCAAGAGGAGCAGCGAGATTTTGCTGCATTCAGTGTGGCGGTCCTCTCCAGCCAGTGGGAGGATGACTTCGAAGGCCGAGCAAGACGCTACGTTGAGAGCGGTGAAGTTAGTAAAAGGCGGCCTTCAGTCAGGTCGCTTTTTAGGTGGAGTGTTACAGCTTTCCACCGCTTACATGTGCAGGTTTCAAGAGACGACTTCGCCGGCCTTCAGTGGCCCAAAGTTAGCTGTTTGAAAACGGCGCGTTCGATCGATTTGATCGTGTTTTCTTTCACATCAGGAGATCAATTTAGAAATACTCTGCTTGAATGACCAAACGGTTCACTCACCCGAGCTTCTGTTGGTTTGCAACATGTATAAAGTGCCTTTTCACCTCGACAGAGTTGGGGACCGACCTCAATCAACGTTTGGGAAGTTCAGCTTCATATTTCGTCCCAGATGAGACTGCCAGCGCAAACTATCCCACGCTAACTATCCCACGCCACAGTACCTGTTGTTTTTCGACTTTAAGGGGTGGTGTGGGTTGGTGTTTGCTTCCTAAACAATTGCATTTTTTGGGCTGATTGCTGCGTTTCGTCAAACAACATGAAACGTTGACTTGAAAAACTTTGTTTGGCCAGAATTTGAGAATTTACATTTTTTGTGACTGTGACTGTTGGTGGGTGGAAGAGAACGATATTGTTGTTAAAGTATTTTTTCAGGTCTTTCAGTGTTTCTGACTGCTTGTTTCTCGTTGTGGCTATGGATCATTCTTTAAATGTTATTTGGTTTTGGCTGCTGCTGCTGCTGCTGCTGCTGATTCTTGAGTCGCACGATCCTCAACAACTCCAGAAGGGGATTCGTTTTGCAGACGTTCTTACATCTCAGCGATTTGATGTTTGTTCCAATGTATTGTTTGTCACAAAAGTATTGCATCAAATGTGTCATTTGAACATACATTCTGAATCATTTGTTGTCGTTCTGTGGGCACCGTCTGACACTGTGGTAAAACAAGGTAGACCTGTGCCTTAATTAGTCCGATGACAGAATGTTGACAATTTTTGAGCTGTACCAATGTCAAAATCTAGAATCTAGAATCAGATTCTAGAGCTCATCAAGGTGGAGCCGACTTCACAGAAAGGGGCATGCTTGGCTGTGCAATTGAGTAGTGCAATGGCAGTTTATGCCCAGTCTTGCACCAAAAGGCTGTAGGAATCCGATTGTTTGTGTGAGGGAGGAAGCCATTCAGCATGGATTGTGCACGAACTGCATTCTGTCGCGTGCTTGCTCAAAAAGCATGTGTTTGTTGTTTGCTGTTCTGCTTCCGGGAAGAAAGAGTTGGTCCTGGAATAGAGACAGGAACTCAGTTTCTCGGATTTGTAGTTTTGAACTTGAGGGAATTTGCAGACTTGCCACATGGTCAGGTCCGGTCCCGGGTCGATTTCCCTCTGCCTCGATTCTGAGGCAGAGAGCGAGGCAAAACGATCCACGGCCCCGTGTGCCCCGCCATCCGGTCGTTCTGGCAGGGTTTGGCACAGTGACCCCCTTTTAAGGGCGAACGCTCAACAGGTTGGGGGTGAAGGCACAGCTTTCCTTGGTGCCGGAGATCGGATGTTTTTGTTGAACTGAAGCCGCGCCTAGCCCATGCAAGGCTCCATGATTCTTGGTTTGCACATGGCTGCACTTCTGAGAGTCGGGTCTCTCTTCTTGAGACAATAGGTGTTGTCACAGTTTTTCTCCAGTGAACCTTCACCAGCTTGTTGCTTTTGTCTGAATCACCAAACCTAAGTTAAACCACTGATACTGATACTGCGGTTTCACCTCCTGTCTTCTGATTTGAACACCAGGGTAGAGAATAGGGGCCATGACACGGCACCGAGTAGTCGGTTCCGAAACCCCTTGAGTCCACGTTGCTTGAGCAGATCCACCTTTAAGCCATAATGAGGCTAGTGATTCTGATCTTAAGCAAATTGGATGATCATATCCTTGCTATTCAGTGCAACAACCCTGGTGGATGATCAAAATTGTGCACTTGATTTCAGTGCACTTGGTGGTGAGCCAAGTCTTGGCGCGTGGATGGACACTGGATTTCTCCATTCTTGCCAGGGTCCAACTAGAAGACATGGGCTGTGCATCGCCGGAGCCTTGAGGGGGCGGTCTCGGGTGTGGTCGCCGACGGTGCCAACGACATGGTGTTCTTTTGAGATTGAACAGTTGGTGGTCCTTGATCTTCAACTCTTGCACCCCTGTGTGTTTTTTCCTTGTTCTCTTGGCTCCAGAGGATCCTGGTCTTGAGGAGTTTCGTGTCAAGACAACTCTGGGAATTCAGAAAGCCACTGAGAGTCCGAAATCCGTTCCGAAAACGACCCAAAATCCGTTTTCGGATGCTTCAGCTGCGACTGAGGTCAGCTCCAAATGGAGCAGTGCAACAACCAAGACTTGGCTCAAGTCAGGCTGCGCTGCGCTGCGGGCGCGTGTGCGTGTGCGAGTGCCGGTTTCTTTGTGCGTGTGCGGTTCAATCCTGAGTCGAGCACAGTCTGCTCGCATCTCTGAAGGCCGGGGACAAGCAAAACCAAGAGCTTCGGCTTCTGGACGAATACTCTGCATGGGAGCTCAGCCTGCTGGAGAGTGTTCCGGATTGTTCAGACTTTATGATACCAGCATGATGAGTTCGTGCAGTCTTTGAAGCCTGATGAAGTCTCCATGTTCTAGAATGGATTGGGCGGAGCCTGAGGTTGGACTAACTCTGGGCGAGGGTGCCTTCGGTGTGGTCTCAGCCGGGACGCCCTGCAAAAAGCGCCAAGCAACTGATGGTCGATCAGCTCCAAGCATTGCTACTCCCTTATTGGTGCTGTCAGGTGTGCAAGAGAAGAGCCACAGGAGAGGAGTTTGCTGCTGAATTCTCAGTTGAGCCTTTGCTGGTTGTCGGATTCGATCATGAAATGTAGTTGGGAGTTGGGAGTGTTCAAGTGCTTTTGGAGCCGAAAAAGGGATGATCACGTTTCATCACCGGGCCCAGTCTCACAGTTCACTACTCAGGTCAAGATGGTGGATAAGGTTGAGACGACAGTGGAGGCCATCAAGAAGGAAGCTGAAATGCTTCAGGCCATGGCTCGGCAGCCCAGAGAACAGCTGAAATGCTTCAGCCGCAGGCGACGCGGTGCAACCTGGAGCAATACCCAACCTGTGCCTAAGGACCATCCCAACATCGTGAAGTGCCACGGAGTCTACTTTGAGAGGCGAAGACGTCCAAGTTCCGTTATGTTGAGGATTTGCGGATCACAAGGTTTGTTGGAGCAGCTGCAGTTGGTGACAAAGTGGAGGTGCTTCATTGGTGCAGGTGCTTCGTGTGTATCGTCATGGACAAGTTGGATGGCGGTGATTTGGTGGAAGGTTTGCAGCGGCACCTCAAGGTGCGTCGCCTGCGTCGTCGTCGTGATCGCCGGCGTCGCAAGAGAGTGATCGTGGCCACTGCCGGACCGGGAGGCCGTTTTCAAGGCCTCATCCCGTGAAACATGATTCGGAACACTTTTTGGCTTGGTTTGTCGCAGCTGAGAGCTGACCTGATGATTTTTGGGCCGACCAGACCTGGGCGTCAAAAAGGATCAACCAGACCTGGTGATGTGGCCTTTCATGACCAGACCTGTAGGTTGGACTCACAGTGACCTGTTCCCGTTGATGGATTCTGCGTGGCCGAAGCCAACTCATGGCGTGCCGAAGCCAGGAACGTGGCCAGATCAATTGCCACGATGTGGTGCACGTGGCGTGCCCCGGCAGCTGGGTCATGGCTGGAGCCCATTTCACGCTACTGGGTTGGACCTCCCTTGTCGTTGATGTCTATTTCTGTTTCATGTAAGTCGGTGGGACAAACCGGTGAGTTCCCCCAGTGTGATGAGGATGCTGTCATTCACATCAATCCTCACGCACGAACAAGATGGTGAGACTAGATGCCTGATGTCGGAAGAAATTACGACTTGCATCAGCCATAAGGCCATAAAGGGCTCTGACAGCCGTGAGTGGAGAAAGACCATGTTTGACGGAGTTCAGGTACCAAATGGCAGCCTCAATCCACTACTTGCACAATAGGCCAGCCCTTGAGGGCCAAATTGATTTTTCAATGTGTGCAACGAAACTCCGCTGTGTTCTGCGAGTCAAAGCTTGTTTTGATCCAGGTGGAACTTTTTGCATGTGGACACAGACAAACCACCACCAAACCGTTGTTGCTTTTTCGCTGCCAAAGCGGCGAGGAACGTGGTTCATCGGGATGTCAAGGGAGACAACTACTTGATGGATCGCAAGGAGTGCGGGTGTCGGCGAGAGTGAGACCAATGGCAGATCAATTCACTTTAAGTAATCAATCAATCAATCAGCCATGTCGGAAGAAAAGTGATTGGTCTTTCTTCATGGCTCATTCGGTCCTCTTTTTTTGTGCCAAGAAGCTTTAGAAGCAATACAATTTGCACAGGCATCTTTAAGTCACCAATAAACTCTAGCTACCAATGCAACCCGACTCTTCTCGCTAATAATAGTCGAGGTTTTGTGAGTTATATAATGTATGTATATTATATGTATATAATTGTATATATATATATACACAGTATAGTCCCCAGATCATTCTTCTCAAGAGCTCAGCCTCGGTCGCTTATATGTCTTTTTTTTCAGGGGTGACATTGGTTTCCTGTGATGGGACTCCCGATGCGACTCAGAACATGACTGAAAAGAACTGCAAGATCGTGCTCACGGACTTTGGAACCGTGGCGACCTTGGTGGAGCGGAGGATCGGGCCCACAGACACCGGGTCCGGTTTTGGCCGGAAACCATGCGTGGAGTCGTGGAGTCGTGCGAATACAACATATTGGTTTGGCATATAAACACAGAACTGCAGCACTGAACAGAAGACCAGGACCCCTTGGGCACCTTATATAGACCTTTTGTGGTGGAGGTTGTGAGGGTGTGAGGTTGCAGCCCGTGTCTCTCTGGAATCACTGTGAAATCACTTTGGTTCCCGTGCCGATGCCTCCATCCACCCCAATGCCACATGCCGAGGCCTGCAATGCTTCTCCGAGTGATCGCATGTCCTCGGGGGTTGGGCCCTAAGACCTTCTATGGTGTGCAGACGGTGTGCATGGATTCTTTCCCCATCTTGGTGTTGATTTGCGTCTGAAATCAGTGTGATGCATGAGGTATGAGTGGAGTTCATTGACATGCATTGACCAATTAGTGTCCACAGACAAGTGGAGAATCAAGAGGCTCTTGTTGATTCGCTCTCACCATTTTCACTCTGCTGACTCTACGACTGGTACCCGGAATTTTTCACGGGCGACTGCAATGCTGAATGTATGAGCCTGCTGGCTCTATTTTTCAGCCTTTAGCTTCTGTTCTTTCCGAACATTTCAGGACCAAGAACCTCACATTCTGACAGCCGACTGCGGTTCTCAGTTTCACACGACGAGTCTGAGCGCCGCGTCTGAGGTGGGGACCAAGATCTTTTGGTCGCCCGAGTTCTTTGATCGGAACTATGGCCAGAAGGCGCCGGACTCGGCGGCCGACTCAAAGAGATCGACTCAAAGGGGCGCCGTGGTTGGGCCCTTCGATTTGGCCCATGGGTTGGCTCGTTGGGGCAGCTTTTGGGGTGAGTGACTGTCGGGTGTGCAGGACAAAGGCGTGGATGCGAGCTTGTGTGGACCATGATGATGTCATGCACCAGTTCAGCCTTGTTTGGAGTATTTGGCATCAGGCCCAGGTTGTTTCAGAAAGACCACCGATAGCACAGATAGGAAGGGACACTTGGTGACACTTGATGGAATCCATCAGTGCTTCATGGACTCCGTTTCCCGGCCTGCCACGGCCCGGCCGTTTGGGCGGAAGCGATCGGCCTCGAGTTCGGACTCTTCCTTCGGGCATCGAAGCCTCATGGCCCTCGACGGCCCAGGTGGATGTTTGGGCCATGGGCGTCATCATGTACGGCTTGGTGAGTGGTCCGAGCGCCCAGCGGCGGACCGGGCGTCGAAACGGGACGGGGCCGCGGAGGCCGCCGGACATCCTCTCCAATGAGGTCATCAAAATCGCCATTGTGCACCCCCCTGAATGACACGGAACTTGTTTCCATGCAAACCGTCACTTCCAGCGGAAGCAGGTCAAACCGGTCAGAACAGCGGTTTTGCTTCGCTCCTGCGCTCTTCCCGCCTTCCAGCGAGGCCGCTTTCCGTTCCGAGATGAGAAAGATGTGAGGCCGGGGACGTGACCGAAGCACGCCGCGCGTGAAGCGAAGCACCTCGTTCGGTCCCAAGAAGCGAAGCGAAGCAGCGAACAGATCAAGATCGACCTCAGAAGTGATGGCAGGGTCCAAAAGTGGGATGGCGTTTGGGTCGTGTCGACTCGCCATGTGAGAACCTCACTTTCCATTGCCCTCTGTCATGGGGGAACGGGCAGATGGGAACGTGGCAACTTCAGGACTTGGACCGTCAAGACGAACGGACCCTTCCAGAAGTTCAAAGAGCTTCATCAAAGACTGATGGGTTCATCAAAGTGCTTCAACTCGTCCAGTGCCTTTTCAGCAGTGGTTCAACTCGTCTTTTGCTTCGCGTGTTCTGCCCTTCACGTGGACCCTTGCGAGCGTCCGCGAGCGCCCGTGCTCGCGCCTGTGGACGCGGAAAAGAGCCCAACGGCCAGGGGGAAGGAGGTGCGTATCCCCAAGCGGGTGCATCCAGTCTGCGAGGAGTGCCGTCTTTTCGATTTTTCATGGATGATGCTGGGCGAGAAGATACCAGGGAGAAGGGTTAATGAAGTTTGTTGAAGCAATGATTCTCTCTCCTGTGTGTGTGTGACTGTGTTTGAAATAAGATCTCGATCCTATCGCCGTTACCACAAACAAACAGTTTGACTAAAGTTGCCTCACTGATTGCAGCAGCTGGTTGGTTGGAGTAGGAGCTCTTTCCAGGAGAGTCAAAGACATAGAAGCAAGTAGACCAGGTAGTCACTTGTGTCTACATTGTTCACATGATCCAAGACGACGACTCAGAGCACGTCATCCGCTCCGACCCTGGTGGCGCCCTGCCAGGAGTACATCAGGAAGATGCTGGACAAGGAGGAGAAGACTCGCATGAGCTCCAGCGAGGTGGAGGATGTAGGATGTATGAGGGTCCTAGGGTCCTGGTGGATTGGCTGACTTTTGGTTTTCCCAAAGAAGAGAACCTTTTGCTTCAAAACATCGAGTGGCTCAAGACGAGCTCCGAGCTCCGAGCTGGGCTTGCTGTTGGTCCAGCTCGGTGGAGCCAGGTGATGGCTCATCCGTGGATTGCGGGAAAACAATCGTGCCGGGCCTAGCCGTCCGAGATCGGACGGATTGGAAGTGCCCGGACAGCGCTTTGTGGCGAACAGCTTGCGGTGATGTGCCGCACTGGGGGCTCCATAGCTGTGTTTTCCTTTTGGACAAGATGACTCTGCCATTGGACTTCTCACGTGATGCCTGTGACGCACGTGGAAGTTGGGTCGGATTTGGATCGCCGCACTCTTGAGGGGACACTCTAGGTTGAGAACCTTCCACGTGCGACCAGCCTCCTGTGACCCGACCACTGTCCTTTGTGTTGACAGAGACCACTGTCACCAGTGTCCCACGGTCTGAGGGTGACGCAAAGCGGAGAAAAGGCCGGGGATGAGTCCGGAGCCAAAGTCGTTGGCCGGAGTGAAGGAAGTCTTGACTTTTTAGGTGATTCTAATAGCAAGCAGAGAGCTTCAGCAGCGTTTTCGTGCTACATGGAAGGAACAGCCATGAACAAGGAAGCTTGCTCACTGAGGGAAGCCGACAAGGATGCTGATGGCATGATGGAGGCCGCCGCCGAAGTGATGTCCAAACGAGATCCCAACGATATGGACCTTGGTTATCAGCTGGACCAAAGGATCCTTAGGTCTCCCTGCAAAGGCGTCTCCTCTCTTCAGGTTCCAAAGAGTTTGCTTGCCCTTCTGTAGGCCGGTGTGAACGATGGCATCAAAGAGAGGCGGCAGGACTGAGAGTAAAGCTGGGTGTGGACTCTGCCCCTCTTTGTGTCAACTCAGGGGGTGGGTTTTTCTGCTCCTCTGAGGAGCTGATCCAGCGCATGAACCGGGAAGCGGAGAGCCGCAAGGGCATCGCCACCAGGTGGGCCACCTCGGTCAAGGGAGGGAGGGACCTGGGATTTGCAGGAATGCCCACGGTGCTCATCCAATCTCAGTGCTGGGGTTTGTCCCAGGCCCCAGGCCATTCTGAAAAAAGCCAGAGTTTGGACATGGTCAAAGTCATGTGCGTTTTCGGTGCGTTTTCTGATCTGACGGATCTGTTGGTGACCTGTATGGGTTTGACCTGAACGAGGTACTCTGTGGAGTCTCATTGAGGAAGGACATGCCCAGACAAGAATGATTGGATTCAAGTCTTGGCCGACTTGTGCCTTCCTTGTTGCTCAGGAAGCAGCTCCAGAACCACAAACACAAGAAGTTTGAGGTGTCCGACAAGATTGTGTGAACCTCAAAGCCGTTCTCATTTCCACACACTTGAGATCTTTAGCAGAGCAACTGCACCATGACAAGGAAACGAAGCAGTGTGAACTTGACAAGAATGTCAGCTACGCCACTTTGCCTGCCTAGGAGCTGCCGGATTCTCACAATCATATACCTGCAAAGCCCTGTGCGATGACCACATACATAAACTTGGTAAAGCCAGTTCTTCCCAATCGAGTGTACCCAGGTTGGAGGTTCTAAACGACAGTTGCAGAATTCTCCAAGGGGGGTTAATCTCTCTTCCATGCTCAGGTGCAGGGTGGAAAGGCATCCTATGAGTGGATGACTGGAGACAAGGTGTCGTGGCCTGCCGTGTGTGGGCCAACTGGTGACAAATGGTGGCCCCGGCGGCACCCTGGACATCCAATCGGTAGTTCATCACACACCTGGGCAATCAATTGTAACCGGAGTTTCTGAGATGTATGTAGTTATATAATGTAGTGGAAAAGGGCATGATGGGCTAGCTGCCTGTTGTATCCAGGTTTGGAGTGGGGTGGCGTTTCTTTTCCCGAATGCGTAGCGAAGGGTTCTCGTTTAACTCTGGGGGTCTGGGGGTAGAGCCTTGTTCGCGACGCGTTGTCTCAGCGTTCGCAACCGTCCGCAACCGTCCGCAACCGTTCGCAACTGTCCGCAACCGTTCGCAACCGTTCGCCGCCGTTCGCAGTAGGGCGCTAAGGCGCTGCCATTGGGGGGAAGCTTTTAGAGATGGTTTCGGATGGAAACGTGTCGCAGTGCCATTGGGATTTGCGCGGCCTTGGTCGGGATGATTGGTGGTATCATGTGACATGTTTGCTTCTAGTGTATGGGCAAACCGTGTGACGCAATTACGTTCGCGATGTTGCAGTGCAATTGGGAATTGCGCGGCCTTGGAGGGAAGTGTGTTTGCGTGGCGCCGTGCCACTGGGGAGCGCGAAACATGCTGGTGTAAACGCGGCGGTGAGCGGGATGATCTGTGGTATCGTGTGATATGTTTGCTTCTGGTGTGTGGGCAGACTGTGTGGTGACACGACATTCGCAGTGCCACTGGGATTTGCGCGGCCTTGGTGGAAAGTGCGTTTGCGTGGCGCTGTGCCACTGGGGAGCGCGAAGCAGGGTGGTGTAAACGCGGCGTGTCGCTGGTGAGCGGGATGATGGGTGGCATCATGTGATATGTTTGCTTCTAGTGTATGGGCAGGCCGTGTGGCAAGAGTGTCCCAAAAGAGTGCCCCGCAAGAGCTTCCTACAAGAGTGACCCAGAAGAGTGTCCTACAAGAGTGTCCCACAAGAGTTTCCTACAAGAGTGTCCCACAAGAGTGTCCCACAAGAGTGTCC